ATGTTCCATATGTCGGAAGAATTGGTTTTACCTTCTTGCTGCCCTAATCCCAGACATGACAAAGAAAAGGAGTGGCACTGTCTGGACGTTAGGAGGGCTCTGAGCTATTACATTGAGAGATCAAAACCTTAGAGAAAGTCGGATGCGCTTTTCGTGTCCTTCAGGAAATCACCTAAAGGAAAACAGGTTTCCACAGCTACTCTTAGTAGATGGCTTAAGGGATGCATTATCTTGGCCTATAAGGCTAAAGGGATGGAACCCCCGGAAGGGATTATTGCTCATTCTCTCGGGGGGGGGGGCAGCAACTTTGGTGGCCTACAGGTTTTTTCCTACCTCGGAGACCATTTGTAGAGCGGCCACCACGAAATCCGTTCATACTTTCACTAAACACTATAGAGTGGATAAGTTAGCATCAGCAGAAGCGTCCTTTGGCTGTAGGGTGCTTCAACACACTCTGTAAACGGGGATTTCCCTCCCTTGGGGCACACTGCTCTTTTACGTCCCAAGCGTGAGGACTGTCCCACGTACTGAATCACTGGAGAACGGAAGGTTTCTTTCACTTACCGTGAAGCTTCCTTTCTCGGTGGTTCAGGAGTGGGACAGTCCTGCCCTCCCTTCTTTTGTGAGATGTTCTCTCCGGTTTACAGAGTTAGTGATGAACCGTAATGCGTTACTCCTTTTAGACGTAGTCAGGAAAAGAGGACAGTTTGCGGGTTCTTACTTAGGTTAATCAGTTTGTTGAGTTTTCCCTATGTTTGAGGGAAAAGTTCTTCCTTCTAGTTCCTGTTTGGCGGACGAGGGGTTCGAAGACGACTGGAAGCCTACAGGGGATAAGCCCCTCCCTGCCTGGATCAAAGCCCAGAGCCGACCCTGCGAAGGAGGGTGGAGCTTATTCCAAGCGTGAGGACTGTCCCTCTCCTGAACCACCGAGAAAGGAAGCTTCACGGTAAGTGAAAGAATCCTTCCGTTCTCAGCAAACCACGGCACAGGGCACCTGGAATCCTAGAAGGCAGTCGTGAGTAGTTGTACTTGTGGCTGTACACACACTGGGTATGATTCCAAGTTCAAATCTGCCCTTGAAAAAACCCACCTCCTCTCTTCTTCCCTGTCCTTCCTGCCCATCAAAAACTCATTTGTTTTTTACATTACTTTTTCCCATCGCTTCAATTGTGGTGGAAAGTTACATCTGTATAGTAGCAAAGATAAAGTATTCTGGTTACCTTGAAAGGCTCATGTAGTTCTTATTGTTAGGTGGCAAGGAATGTGGTGGCAGTTGCACATCTTGTTTGGCTAGCAACATTCGTATTCCTTGTATGCTGTAGGCCCTGTTACCTTAAGGGCCAGGGCAAGTTTTGTCCTTGTTTTGTTTCCATGTATCTGCAGGTAAAATTGAATGGCAGAAAAGTCCTAGCTCCTATAAATCATGCGACTGCTTTAGCTGTTGAAACATCCATTCCAGCAGAGACTACAGAACACGTTCAGTCTGCAAACACAGAAGTGTATGAGTCGGTAGGAAAAAATTGTTCTAGTCCTAGTGTCCTGCTATCCCACAAATCTTATTCCCCATTTTTAGCATTCTTTCTTCCCTCTTGGTGTTCTGTATCTGATGCATTTATTTGTCTCTGTTGCTTCCGAATGGTTGTGATCTCACCTTGCTTGTGCTTAGCAAAACTGAAACACTTACACACACACCCCTAATCAGCTCTTGGCCAAACTAATTCTTCAACCTGTTGGGAAATCTCTGTGTAGGTCCAGCTGTCACCCAGCAGTGAAGACACAGGCTTTGCTCACCAGTCCTGTGCTAGGAAGGAAACTGGCACTTCAGCCCCATCCAGGGTTGTTGAGGACCCTCGTTCTGTGGCTGTGCTCACAAAAACGAACCAAATTGAACAGGTAAAAAATGAATAAATTGAAACCTCTTCAGTAGTCTATATGTGTAAAGATTATTTCATTTGTAAACTGCTTTGAACATTGATAAGTAAAAATGGGGTATAAACAATGGCTTGTATCTGGCAAGATCCACTCACAGATCAGATCTCACAGACTGAGACTTTCTGGCTTCCCCCTCCCTCTACTTAGCCCCCTGAAATTCTATTCCTGAGGGTTTGATGACCCTCAGGAACCACATAAATAGTAAGGGTGGTGGTTTGCAGTAAGAAGGGGAAATAGTTGGAAATGGCTTCCTTCCCTCCTGAAGGTAGAAGTGCCCTCAAGTCTTTGGATACAAGCCAATTTAAATAAACAAGGAAAGTTGGACCATTCAAACACTCTGGTGATGATACCATCTTCCGTCCATGTAGCACAGGTTTATCGAAAGGCCAGGGACAGGAGGAAAATTACCCATTTTGAAAGCGGTATCAAGATCCAGTCAGTTTAGGGTCTTGAAAGTATAGAGAGCTGAGGAAACTGAACAGATGTATTTATCTGAAGAAGTGCACATGCATGCAAAAGCTTATACCCAGAATTAAACTTTATTGGTTTTAAAGGTGCCACTGGACTCAAACTTTGTTCAGACCTATTCATTGTAATCCTATGCAGTTATTCTACCCTAAGCCCTTTGCGATCAACAGGCATAGACTTTCGTAAGGATTGAATTGACTGACACCAAAGATTGGGAGACATGAATTCCTCCTTTATCTTTACTGCTTTATTTCTATTCTTTATGTTACTTCCTCTAATGAGCCTTCCTTGGTTAGGCAAATATAAGAGAATCTTTATGCTGCCACTCTTGTGCCCCTATTGAGAAATGAAGACATAAAAGTAACCTGCTGGCAAAGTACATATTTATTCCCTTATTTTAACCCAAATAAATCACACTGATTAATATAGAAATGTGATCTTCAGTCCACATTGGACCATGTAATACAGAACAGTTCCTAGAAAAAGGAATTACAGTTTGAAATAGATTTTCATACATACTGTGGGTTTAGCTGTGTTAGCCATACTCATGTTGTTAGACAAAAATACAAGGTTCCAGTATAATTTAAGGGAACTATTTCATGGAAGTGAGAAGATAACATATTGACTTCATGTCTGACAGCTTGGAATGCATCTAGGGCTTGAATATACATAAGAGTGAAGGTCAACATGTGCCTTCCTTTGCTTCATAGATCCATTTGTGTACTCTGAACTGTTGTAAGGCCTTTCTTTTGAAGTATCTTTTGTTGGCAGACCATCAAACAAAGCCTTAAGGAGTCTTTGTAGGAATATTCTTAAATTTAAAAGCAGTACAACAGTCTTTTTAATAAGGGGATATGGATTACTAGGAATGTATGTGAGGCTTGATAAAGATGGCAGGGGCAGACCTGAATGAATATTTGGAAACAAAACTGTCACTGGAGTCCAGCAGCATGGTTTTTGCTGTACTCTGTTAATCCAAAATAATTACCATCTTTGGGTTTCCTGCCCACAATGTATACTACAGAAGGAATCTTCAGTTCACCTACAACCAGGTACTGAAATTATCTAATACCTATTTTATCACCCTGATTGTGACTATGACAAGATGGCTGGTGATCTTTAGCATATGCCCTGCAGCGATATAAACATACAAGGCAGTGGATTTTTAATGGAAAACCTAACACTCCAGTCTTAAAAAGTTGTTGCTGGAATGGCATTAATCTTCGTAACTGGTGTGGTGACATAAGTATTGCTTACATGTTTGAAGTGTGATATGTTCTCCTGACTACTGCCATCACCAGTGGCTAGCACCATAAAGACTATTTCTGTTCACAGCTAGTATGTAGGGAGAGCTGTGATCTTCAAAGGCAGGTCCTCAAATGTCAGGTTTGCACAAGATCTCTTTATTGACACCATCTTCTTTCCTTTAGGACTATCTGCAGGTCATGCTCAATTTTGCTGTGGTGGCCACTATGCTGTTGCAGAAGGAGCCCTGCATGGAGCAGGCACTGGAAGTAGCACTGCGTGCCAATATGAGAAGTGTTGGGGACTACTATGAAAGCATGCTGAAGAATTTCATTGACAACTATGACTTATCTGAGACCCACTGAAAAGGCATAATGAAAAGATCTGATGGTCAGTGTGGCCAAGGCCCTTTGGAGGACAGAATGAATGGGGTGGGAAGTTGCAGGAGGTTTTTGTTTTAACTAAAAGATTAAATTGGGCACAGCTATGGAGCGGAGATGAGAAGCCCCAGAGTTTGGGCTGCAGCAGCTAGAGGTTGTGGAGGCAGTGGCTAAAAGTCTTGCGACCCTTATTGCTGTACAAAAGGATTAGAGGGGAGTGGGAGAAAGAAGATCAGTCTTTGGTACAGAAGTGTTGTGGCAGGTTCTTGGAAAGTGTTGACTTAAAGGCTTCTGGACAGGTCAGTAACTCCTGTGCAGGAGTAATTGGGATCAGAACAGTAAACTGGTTGTGGCATGCTGCCCTGGTATCAAGACTCCCCATAACATGCTAATTCTGAGCTCTACATTAAGTTCTGACTCCCTCATGCTGTTAAATGCAGAGGGGAATATGTAGGAGGACTCCTGTCCAGTTGAGGAGCCCCCTCATTAACACATTTCTTAAGAGCAAATATGTGTGTGTGTGTGTGTGTGTGTGTTTTGCAAATAATAAAATTTTGAAACAATGCATCTCTTGAAGCTGCCTTTATTTGTGTTAATCAAGTGCTCTATTATAGATACAAGCTCTGACAATTAAGGTTACAATTGTGTAATAATATTTTAGCATCTTTTTAAGGCTGCCATCATTAATCTATTTCTCTCTCCCCCTTCTGAATGCATGTAAGTTAGGAGGCTGAGAGTCTATACAGAATATTAAAGTACAGGTAGTGAGGTCATTTTATTTCACATTCTCCACACTGAAGTCCATCTTATATGTACTGATATTCCAAGAGGATTTGTTTCACTCTGGCTGTGCTGTGCTACCAGCAGGGAGCAGCAGAGAGCTTCCAGTCAGAGAGGCAAATGCGGTAGGTGCAAACATTGAAAAGTTACTGCTGACTGGGCTCAAAGACTTCCAAGTTGTGTTCCCCAGCCTCTGCAGGTATTCACATTTCAACAAAATACTGGGCCTTACTGGACAAGCTGATAAACCTCTGGTTTTCAAATAAATGTTCCTTCCCCCCCCCCTCCATTAGTATGAGGGGTATATATTCATGTCCATGAGCTTTTCCATCCCCAGTTAGCTTGTTCTGTTGTTAAATTATGTCAAAAGGTGCCACTACCAAAAGCAAGCATCATGCCTTAAATAGCAGCAGACTCGGTTGTGCATTTTTAAAAACTGTCTAGTGGATGCAGTTGTTTGCAAAACTCTGAAGTACACAGCTTGACTGAATTACAGAAATGCAAACTCTGCGCCCCTGAAAGTCCTGCTTCCCAAGCCTGCTGTTAAAGCGCACACATACCACCTTTCCTTCCCGAGTCAGCTAGCCTGGACTTGTTAAATCTCTCACTTCATACTTGTAGGAAGAGGGCTTTTTCTTCTCCTCTCTGTTCACACCTTGCTACATAAATGTCTGCTTGTGATGCTACCCTTTCTTCTTTTGCCTGACTCTTTCCGGGTCTCTGGTAGCTTCCCCCAGGAGCTAGGAGATACTGCAGTGTTTGCTGCTTGCTCTGGCTGCCCGTCCTCCTCCTTTGCCAAGTGCCTGCTGCTCCGTAGTGGGGAGAGCAAGATGCCTGGACCCAGGCTTTGGGATTGGTGTCCCGAAAAAGAAGCCCTCTGGCTCAGAGTCAGAATCGGAAGATGATGAGCAAGTAGGGCACCAAGTGTCATCTTGTTCCTGCACAGGTTCCAGCTCACCAGTGCCAGCTCCACCCAGCCCCTCTGGAAAGTCCATGATCAGTGCCGATGCATCCAAGGCTGTGGAGAGACAGCTTCTAGAGTGGTCGTCTCCAACCTGTTGCCAGGATGCCTGTGGGAGAGTGTCCTCTTGGATGGAGCTCTGCTCTACTTCTAGAGGATGTGGAGAATCAGCTAGTGGTTCAAGTTCGTCAAGCTGAGGGGAGACTGATTTGTTCCTGAAAACAACTTCCTCCTCCTTGCTGGTGAACTCTGGAAGGAGGGATGAGGAATTCCCAGATGTATGTAGCCGTTCTGTTACTGTGCAGGGAAAGAATGAAAATTCATATGTCTACTGGAAAAGCCTGTAAAGTACAGTGCTGCTAGTAGCAAATGAGTTTGCATATCCCACAGACTTCCACAATATCTCCCAATTCTATATTAAGGGCAGGTTTTGTACTGTTTGCATGCAATTATGGTACCATCTCCTTTTCACTAATTATTTCTCAAGCCTCTTCTGTGGGGTGCTAACGACTTCCAGGAGGGGTTTTTTCCATACATAAATGCCTTCCCCTGTGCAAATGTGCATGGTGTACAGACTTTACCACTGCCCTGAGCCTGCTTTGGCAGGGAGGACAGGGTATAAATCAAATAAATAAATTGAAACTTGTCAGACACAAACACAAACTTCTCCTTTCATTTGAGCTTGGCCTGGTTAACTGCTACAAACTAATAAAGATTCGACACTTAAGTGTCAGCAGAAGCTTAAATACGCGACTCTTCTCTCATTAGAGATATAAGACAAGATACTAGGGAGCCTCCTGTTTCTATGAGGAGCTCTTTCTAGTTCCCCATTTCTGAAGGCCTTACCTTCTGCCGTTTGTTCACATGCATCACTGTTGGTTCTTGGTGCTGCAAAGGAGCAACTTGGGCTTCTGTTTTTGGCTCTAGATATGGGTGTGGAGTCGGGGGAAGGAGCTGAGATGAAAGCAGAGTCTGAGGAATCTGAGCCTGTGGATGACAGCGCTGACTCCTTCTCCAAGCTGCAGGCCTCAGAACAAAACAGAAGGCCACAGCGAGTTGTGATCAGCTGGCCTAGTAATGCTTTCTTGCAAAGGCTGCAGCAGAAACAGGAGCCTGTGGCATGCCAGTGCTGACCTTGGAGGCTGGCCTGCTCACTGTCAACACCTGTGAGTGGAGAACAAGTCATTACAAGAGTAATGTCATATTAACAGAATGCTAAATGTAGTTAAGCATGGTAGCTTCCTGGGTACGTTGCAGGTTCCCAGTCTGAATGGGGAAAATTGTGGGGGCAGATAGAGAGGAGGAGGCCTAGGATCCAGATGTTAAGAGCAGGAACAGCTCTTTAGCCACCTGTCTCTTAAACTAGGCTTCAGTTTCTAGATACAGTCCCTTAAAGAATTACTTGCCCCTAGAGCTGACCACACAATATGCTGATGCCTTCTGTTAAGTTGGTCGTTTCCCCCAATTGCCAAATCATGTATCAACAAATGCTTTCCACCAAGAACCTCTTACCTGATTTCAAACTAAACCTTACTACCAATCTGCTTTTTCCAGCCCTGAAATGTGAGACACATTGAAATAAATCTAGTACTGCTGAAGCGCCTCTAAGGAAAGAAAGGACTGGTGGAGGGTAGTTATGATAGAAGCATACAAACAGGAACTGTGTGGAGAAAAGAGAATGGAGATACTTTCTTACTTCTCCAGGGGAATTTATTAGAAGAAACAAGAGAACTATTTCTTCATGGATTTAATTGCCACAAAATGATAGCTTTAAAAAAGGATTATTAATTTTATTCATGTTATAACACCTTTCTCACTAAGACTCAAGGCGGATTACATAATGTAAGTCAGTAGTGGATGGTCCAGGCCAGCCCAGTCTTGTCAGATCTCGGAAGCTGAGCAGGGTCAGCCAGGTTAGTATTTGGATGGGAGACCTCCAAGGAAGTCCAGTTTCAGGTTCATAGAAGTTGAAGAACCCCATTGCCTAGATGCCAGTACTAAAGCAATTTATCTGATTATTTATATATTCCTTCTTGGAAATTGAAAAAGAGTAGCATGTTTCAGAATAAGGCCCCTGTGACAAGCCGTTTCTGTCAACTGAGGGGACCCACACAGCTTCCTATGATTTTTAGGGAACTAGGTTTGTGTTAAATCATAAACCTTCCCTCAGTTATCAGATGTTCTAAAGGTAGCGAGTGTCTAGGCTTTGGGTTTGCTGCTGTGAGGTAAGTATTGTGGTGTACAAGTACAATATGGAGGTCACTGAGGCAGGAATTACATATTAACAACAAAGAAGATGTATTTATTTACAAGCAGGTTTCCAGGAATAGATCAGCAGCACAGGTCTCCGGATAGACAAAAGAGAAACCTGGCTGAGGCACATTAATTCAGAGAGTAGTTTCCGTTTTCTTTAATACTTTCCAGCATAAACACACCCCTAGCACTCCCCTAGGCTTGAGTGGCTGCTTTCCCCTTCAGGGGCAGGGCAGCCTTCTGTCCGTCACAACATCTAATAAACAATCTAATAGGACTAGGATCAGATACATTCATGAAGCCTGTCTGACACTGTTAGCTCTTGTAGCTACTAGCCAAGAGAATCTAATATTCAGACAAAAGTCTGTCTTAGTGTTCAGTCTCCAGCAACAGCTAAACTGATCCCCTTGGAAGATAAAGAGCTGTCTGTTTTAGGCAGCCAACCTTTGTTTTTATCTCCAGCATTTGGTAACTAAAGGCATATTAAGCATGAGTGTTTTCTTTATTGCCAAGGGATAATCTCCATTAAAATTTCCTTGCGAGTCTCCCAGAGGCATCTGCCCAATTTATATAAATCCTATATAATCTTATTCTGCAACGCAATTCTTGTGTTTTAGCCCTTCAACCCTGCTATTATGCGAGGCACATTAATTCAGAGAGTAGTTTCAGTTTTCTTTAATACTTTCCAGCATAAACAGGCTTTTTACCAATTAGCCACTAGGTTGGATCCTAAAAAACACACAGGATTCCGCCCACACCAGCCTGCCCTTTCCCAAGAGTCAGACTAAATGGCACCAGGTCTGCTCATTGCCAGAGACAGGCCTAACAGTTGGGTACTCCATTCTCTGTCAGAAGAGCCAAGCCACTCTGCCACACTACCAAGCAGAGCTACCCTTCACTCTGCCTGCTCTTTTCCTGAGCCAGACTTGAGCTCTCCCTGCTCTCTCCCTGAGGCAGAACTGAACTCAACTTCTGCTGTGTTTCCCTCAAACATTCCACACACACCCCTAGCACTTTCCTAGGCTTGAGTGGCTGCTTTCCCCTTCAGGGGCAGGGCAGCCTTCTGTCCGTCACAACATCTAATAAACAATCTAATAGGACTAGGATCAGATACATTCATGAAGCCTGTCTGACACTGTTAGCTCTTGTAGCTACTAGCCAAGAGAATCTAATATTCAGACAAAAGTCTGTCTTAGTGTTCAGTCTCCAGCAACAGCTAAACTGATCCCCTTGGAAGATAAAGAGCTGTTTGTTTTAGGCAGTCAACCTTTGTTTTTATCTCCAGCATTTGGTAACTAAAGGCATATTAAGCATGAGTGTTTTCTTTATTGCCACAGGATAATCTCCATTAAAATTTCCTTGTGAGTCTCCCAGAGGTATCTGCCCAACTGTTTTACAGTCCTATATAATCTTATTCTGCAAGGCAATTCTTTTGTTTTAGCCCTTCAACCCTGCTATTATGCAACATCCAGGACAGTAATGCACAGGGCTTTTTTCTGGGGGAATGTACCAGAACAGAGTTCCGGAACCTCTTCGACAAAATTCTTTTTGAAATGTTTAAAAGTTTATGAGTTTTCAGTGTACAGACTGAAAACTTCATTTCCCTCTTGAGAGTTACAGCACCTCTTTTTCCAAAGAAAATGTCCTGGTAATACAAGTTTACAGAATTCCATTATTTTGTGAAATAATATAGCAGTAATTCTAAGGGAGATGAAGATTTTGAATGAATGTGTGAGAGTTTGGAGTTCTTTGAGAAACTGAACAAGCATGTAGACAACTGACCCGGTAGACATTATATACCTGGACTTTCAAAAGGCTTTTGACAATGTACCTCGCCAAAAGCTCTTGAGTAAACAGTCATGGGATAAGAGGTCAAGTTCTCTTATGGGCTAAAAATTGGTTAAATGACAGGAAGCAAAGAGTAGGAATCAATGGACAGTTCTCACAACGGAGAGAAGTAAGCAGTGAGGTCCCACAAGGATTGGTATTGGGGCCAGTACTATTTAATTTATTCATCAATGATCTGGGACTAGGGGTGAGTAGTGTAATGGCCAGGTTTACAGATGACACAAAAATTATTCAGGATGGTGAAAACCAAGGCTGACTGTGAAGAGCTCCAAAAGGACCTCCATGAATTGGGTGAGTGGGCAACAGTGTGGCAAATGAAGTTCAATTTTGGTAAGTGTAAGGTGATGCACACTGGGACAAAAAATCCCAGCTTCAAGTATAGACTAATGGAGACTGAACTTGCTGAGTCCGAGAGGGGTCAATATCTTGGGGTCATAGTGGATAGCACAATTAAAGTAACAACCCAGTGTGCTGCAGCAGTGAAAAAGGCAAAGTCTATGTGAGGGATGATTAGAAAAGGGATTGAGAATAAAACAGATTATATTGTAATGCTGATATTGTAATGCCCCTGTATAGCCCTATGATGCAGCCTCATTTGGATTACTGTGTACAGTTCTGGTCACCGTATCTCCAAAAGGATATTGCAGAGTTGGAAAAAGTACAGAGGAGGCAACCAAGATGATTCAGGGGCTGGAACACCTTCCCTATGAGGAAAGGCTGAAGAGTCTGAGATGTTTCAGTTTAGAAAAGAGATGATTAAAGGGGAACATGACAGAGGTTTATAAAATTATGCATGGTGTAGGGAGAGTTGACAAAGAGAAAATGTTCTCCTCCCAAAAAAGTAGAACTCAAGGGCATCCAATGAAACTGATGGGTAGTAGGCAATGCTCCCTCTAGGCTGTGGAGTCTTGTGAGCAAAAATTCTACTTTGTGAGCTACTAGCATTAAAGTTGTGAGCAAGCGATTTGGTTACTGCACAAATTAGTCTGCTCTGGAGCCACCCTTCCTGAGCTAAGACAAAACTGTGAGCGGGAGGCTAAAAAACTGAGAGCTAGCTCACAATAAGTCATCTTAGAGGGAACACTGGTAGTAGGTTCAGGATGAATAAAAGGAAACACTACTTTACACAGAGTGATTAAAATGTGGAATTAGCTGCCAGAGGATGTAATTATGGCCACAGGAATAAACAGCTTTAATAGGGGATTAGATAGATTCATGGAGGATAAGTATCAATGGCTATTAGCCATGGTGACTGAGGGGAACCTCCACATTCAGAGGCAGTAATCCTCTGAATCCCAGAGCCAGGAGGCAACATCAGTGGAAGGCCTCGGCCTCTATGCCCCGTTGTTGGCCCTCTGGAGGAACTGGTTGGCCACTGTGTGAGACAGGATGCTGGACTAGATGGATCATTGGTCTGATCCAGCAGGGCTCTTATTTTCTTATGAAGGAAAGATGGGGCTGCAAACTCTTGAAAGGGGGCCTAGGTGATGAACAGGCATGAGCTGGCTCTTCTGTTGTATCTGAGCCAGTTGCTAAGTTCTGGAGGGGGGAATGCATGACCTATGTTTTCACACAATCATTCAGCTGAGTGAGGCCAGTGTCACGCTTTCTTGATGTCTTTTATAAGTAGGATGCCTGTAGCCACAGCACATTCAGCATTTTTCTCAAGACCACAAGCACCCAGGACCTACCAATAATCTCTCCACAGGCTTGACAGACATCTGCATAAAGACTCTCGAAACAGGCACAGCAGTAGGGCTGGCCACCCTTCATAACATACCGCCGTGCCCCCAGGGGCAAGTCACACTCCAGGCAGCAGAAGTGCTCTTCATGCCAGCACAGGCCTTCAGCCTCCATGCACTCCAAGGTGAAGATCAGCTGAAGAGACAGAGTGATATCCCAGATTGCACATATCAAAACTCAAGATGGAAGCACAGCACACATTGTTGTCTTTGGAGACCACCTGGCTTCTTACATACAGGTAACATCCACAAAACCTTGTAACACTGGTGTGATTTCCAGCCACTTACCGGCTTTAAAATTTGTTCCATTTAGCAAAAGCTATGATTACTCCTCATTGTGTTTAAAAAAAGAACCTGAACTCATGACTTCCTGATGGAGCAGGATGTGGACCTGGCGTGCGTGACCGAGATCTGGGTAAGAGATGGGGAGACAGTTGCTCTCTCCCAGTTGGCTCTGCCCGGGTTCTCAGTCCTTCACCGATCTCTGGCTATGGAGAGGGGGGGTGGAGTGGCTCTGTTCGTTCGGGAGGCTTACTCCTTCAGGGCGCTCCTGGCTTTGAGGCTCACAGGCATTGAGTGTGCTGGCTTTGTGTGGGAAGCCGTGGAGAGTTTGGCTGTTTGGTTGGTGTACTTGACCACCCAACGCACCGCTTGACAGCCTGTCAGCCCTGGTGGAGGCCATGTCGGGCTGGGCATTGGAGCACCCTAGACTGATAGTCCTGAGTGACTTCAATGTCCATGCCGACGATGCGGCTTCCTCACAGGCAGTGGACCTGGTGTCGTCCATGGCGGTGCTAGGACTCTCCCAATATGTAACGGCCCCCACACACCGAGCCAGTCACACGCTTGATCTGATCTTCGCGGCAGGGGTTACAGTGGACCGGATTACTGCTACGGCAGTTCCATGGTCGGACCACCATGCCCTGAAGGCCCGAGTGAATGTGTCACCCCAACCCTGTTTGGGTGGCGAGCGTATTTTAGCTTGCCCGCGGAGCCAAATGGACCCAGTGCGGCTTCAGATGGCTCTTCGGGATCCTATGCCCCCTGGCGGCTCATTAGATGAGCTAGTCGAGGACTGGCAAGGCTGACTCTCGACAGCCATTGACAAGATCACTCCCAGACACCCTCTGCGCCCGCGCACTAGGCTGGCTCCCTGGTATACCCAGGAGCTGAGGCTGATGAAGCGAAGGCTTAGATGGCTAGAGAGACAGTGGCAGCGTGCTCATGACGAAGCAACAAGAGCATCTTATAGGACATTTATGAGATCCTATGAGGTGGCAGTCAAAGCTGCGAAGAGGGAGTTCTATGCAGCCACGATTGCGTCTGCAAGCTCGCGCCCGGCACAATTGTATAGAACGATTCAGTCTTTAACGGTTCTGCCACAGGGCAGACAAAACATTAAGGAATTGGATATCGGCTGTGAGGCTTTTGCGAGCTATTTTGCAGATAAAGTCTTGTCGCTCCACCGCGACCTCCCTGCCACAGTTGAGACAGTGAGCGAACTCAAGGCTCCTAGCACATCTTCTGGTCCCATTCTGGATTATTTCAGTCCACTCAGCCTACAGGAAGTTGACACATTGATCTCAACTGTACGCCCAACCACATGCAAACTTGACCCGTGCCCCTCCTGGCTAATTAAAGCTGGCCATGAGGGGTTTTGAGGTGCTCTCAGGGATATTATAAACAAGTCCCAAGGAAGCGCCCTCTCCTTAAAAAACCATCTCAGGATCCAGCCAAATTGGCTAATTACTGGCCGGTTTCCAATTTGCCTTATTTGGGCAAACTAATTGAGAGGGCGGTGGCAATACAGTTGCAGAGCTTTCTGGATGACACTTCCATGTTAGATCCTTTCCAGTCCAGCTTTCGCCCAGGCCATGGGACAGAGACAGTACTGGTCGCCCTCACAGATGACCTCCGGAGGCACCTGGATCGGGGCGGGACGGTGGTGCTGCTGTTGTTAGACCTGTCAGCGGCGTTCAACACGGTCGACCACCAGCTGCTCGCCTGCCACCTTGCCAACATGGGAATTCAGGGGCTTGCCAAGCAATGGCTTGTCTCCTTTCTCCAAGGTCAGGGACAAAGGGTGGCTATTGAAGAGCAGCAGTCCCGAAGGCACCCACTAGTATGTGGTGTGCCCCAAGGGGCTGTGCTCTCCCCAATGCTATTTAACATCTATATGCGCCCCCTTGCCCAGATTGCCCGGAGGCATGGGCTGGAATGTCACCAATATGCGGATGACACCCAGCTCTATCTGATGTTGGGTGGTCAGTCTGACTCTACCCCAGAAAACCTGGACCGGGCGTTACAGGACATGGCTGGATGGCTTAGACTGAGTTGCCTGAAATTGAATCCGACGAAGACAGAGGTCCTGTGCCTGATTCAGAGAGGTACGGGGGTAGGGATCCCACTCCCAGCCTTTGGTGGGGCACTGTTGGTGCCAGCGCCGAGGATCAGGAGCTTGGGAATGCTCCTGGATGCTTCCTTAACAATGGAGGCCTAGGTAGCAGCCGCTGCCAAGGCAGCCTTCTACCATCTTCGGCTGATTAAGTAGTTGGTTCCCTTCCTCGAACGCAATGATCTGGCTGCAGTGATCCATGCTATGGTCACCTCGAGGTTGGACTACTGTAATGCTCTCTACATGGGGCTGCCCTTGGTGCAACTCTGGAAGCTGCAGCTGGTGCAGAATGCAACGGCCAGGCTGTTGATGGGTCTCCCTAGGTGGGAGCACATCCAGCCTGTGCTAAAAGCATTGCACTGGCTGCCAACAGCATACCGGATTCGCGTCAAGGTGCTGTTTTTGACCTTTAAAGCCCTTTATGGTCAGGGACCGGCCTACCTGAGGGACTGCCTTTCCCCGCATGTTCCCCAGAGAGCACTGCAATCAGGATCTCAAAACCGCCTGGCCCTCCCTGGTCCGAAGGCCGCAAGTTTGACATCGACAAGGACCAGGGCATTCTCTCTGGCAGCCCCGTCTTATTGGAATCAGCTCCCTAGTGAGATCAGGGCCCTGCGGGACTTTCCGCAGGGCCGTGAAAATTGAGCTTTTTAGACAGGCACACCCATAGGAGCGGCCTCTTACCAGCTGTGCCCTGTGTGGACTCAGACTCAGTGTGGTGTGACCTAGCACAGTGGCATCGCTGAACGTGTCTCAAATTGCACTTTACTGTTTTGTATCGCCATCGATATTAACTGCTCTTTACTGTTGTGTAGCGCCACCGATTTTAATTGATTGATTAATTGATGTACCTGTAATTTTATATGATGTACATTGTCTTATTAGTTTTATGGGAGCTGCCCTGAGCCCGCCTTGGCGGGGAGGGCGGGGTAAAAGTCAAATCAATCAATCAATAAAATAAATAAAATAAATTAATGTAAAATATGTATGTTTATATTTAGTTTACATCTTCTATTTATGGAAAGGGTCCAGGAACTCTACAGAGCACTGAAACCTCATTCTGTGCTATTGCAGGTCTTGTTTCACCCCTGTAAGACTGAAATGTCATCAACCAGTACCTTTTCAAACGGAAACCAGAATCTCATATTTGCAGAAGCATAGAACACATAGTACTAACCTCACATCTTGAGTATACCTACCACACATTTCATATAGCTGATGGAATAGGTTTCCGCATATAGCTGGTTATCCCTCAATGAATGTTAGTCTTCAAGGTACCACATTGCTTTTTGTATTAAATGTGGGAGGATCCTCCAGTTTAAGAGTCCTTCCAAGGGCTGTTTACAGGCAGCATGTGGCCAGAAACCTTGCAGTCCCTGGGAGGATTTCTGGGGGGTATTTTGCAGCTTGTCCTGACCAGAGCCAGGGTAGTGGCTTAAGCCCATCACAGCTGTAAGGTAGTGTCTTGAAGATGCCCTAATTAAGTGCGGCCGTTCATTCATTTACAAAAGCAAAAGTATCATTGTCCCATGCAGAATATTTTTTGTGCGTACCTGATCACATGAAGCACACCGTGGACGGAAGAATTCTGCATGATGTCGTCCGCAGTAGATTTTCCCATCCCGATGAAAGTAGATGAGCTCCACAAGAGGCTGAAGACAGATGTGACAGACAAAGCAGGCTGGATGCCAGCAGCACTGCTCTCCCAGTTTGGATGCCAAAATACCCTGTTCACCTGTGTTTATCTTCTTACCACACTGCAAACCAAGCAGACAGCATTTCTTTAAAGTGCTTACATGTCTGCCCTTCCTAAATGACAACACTGGAACACCTTGCACTCTAGGTTGTACATTTTTTGTAGTAAGAAAATCCTATCTGAAGACTGATTTCTGTAACCTGTACAAATCTGTACAAATCATGCACTATTTTGCATAATTCTGCCATGTTGCTATTTCCATAATTTATTCTAGTTTTGTTTGTCATGGGATTGGGAAAGACACTGAAGTTCTACTCCCTTCCACAAAAAATATCTTCAGCCACCTCTTGGCTTCTGAGTTTCAGGAGGCATTGCCCACATCCTTTCAAGCATATTGTCCCACCATTGCCCATGCACTGTTATCTTTTCAGCCCGAACAAATAAAAACATGCTTTGCTTTTTAAAAATGAAAACTGAAATTCTTGGGAAGCTAAATTCTGCAGCAAGAAGAGAGACAGCTCACACAGCCTTACTTGGGATCTTTATGGAGATGTGATGTACTAAATTATTCTTAGAGGAAAAATCCACCTTGTCGTTCCAATTTTTTTAGTGAGACTGTTTTTGTTTAGCTGCTTTAAAAGTGTTTGACATTTCTGTTGTAGCATATACTGCATATACAGAAATACAATAACTGCAGTTTTGGGAGCCACATGTCTAATGGTAACAAATGAAATTGCTGTATTTTGGGGTTTTTTAAAAAAACACACACCACATTTCTACATAATTTCAGTCCCCATGCTAATACAGGGAAAGCAAAGCTAAAACTCAGTACCAAGCTTCACAGTAGTGCAGTCTTGAAGATACCTGTGCCCAGTAACAAACTGTAGCCGGCTTACCTTTTTGCAGAAACAGCCATGGGTTGTAGAAGATACCAAGCATGTAACACCCTGGCCCAGTGATTCCTGCCGCCGCTGTGCAGCAAATGTTCGCAGCTGCTCCCTTTCCTCTTCCCCAATGGACGGGCAGTATTTCTCCTTGAATAAAAGCAGAAGACAGCATTATAGTACTGGATTTATTAGCACAGTTTTGCACAAAGAGCATGAGGTAGATGCTCCAAAACCCCATTCATGGAGGCTATATGTATTTGTTACAAGTTCTGTCCTGATGGATAAAGATACATCACCATAGCCACAGGTCTGCACTGTCAGGCAGGCTGTGCTTAGAGAGAGAATTTGTTATCTAGGAAGATCAACCAGTCCTCAGACTCTTGAATACTAACTGTTGGGTTTTCTGGCCTTTTTCTCTAAGCAGCTGCCCACTCTGGGAGGCATCATTGAACTGAAACAATGTTGTACTCTTATATTCATTCAAAAAACCACACATCTGCAATTCTGTGGGAAAGCCATTAAGCTGTGTGGGTTGACTCTGGTTAAAACTGGGGAGAGGCTCAGTGCAAATAAAAGTTCATATCAGGCCAAGCCACTGCAGAAGGACTGACAGTGTTGAAAGGTTTATTACTGAAGTAGGAGGTGTGCCCAAATTCTACATGTGGGATGGAAAAACAAAGCTTAATGGCTTTTTAGCCAAGGGATGCACAAGGCAAGATGGCCTAGTTCAGCCTTGATGAGGCAAAGTCTTACATTGCAGTCTTGTGGTGGCAGTTGCTGAAGAAGAGCTCTGATGTGGAGCCGATTTGGAAAGGTAGCAGGGACTGCATTGAACGACTGAGAACCAAAGTGTATTGCCACCTATGAAAACAAACACAATAGAGAAGTTAAGGATGGTAGAGCTGTGATTTCTCTAGGGGACAGATGGCTGCCTGCACTGCCATCCACAAGGCAGACCTAACAGAGGGTGAGAGATTTGTCTTATGGGAAAGGATGATGTCCAGGCCTCCTGAAGCCTAAGGAAAAGGTACTGGCAAAACATAGAAAATCTAGTTTAGCATTTATCTATACTTATATCCAGGCCTCAGTTACTCTAAAGCTAGCTCTTCTCGGTTCTATGTATATCCAACCAAGCCGTGTTGTGTACTGCCAGGTTTACCCTACTGATTCTGTCTTTCTCATCTTCAGTCCTTTTCTTCATCTTGCCTGGAATCAATACTTACATAACAGAAAAGGGAAGACAACTATCATAGCAGTACCTGAACAGGCAGCCATGAAAAAGGTCTGGCTGTTTCTGATTTCTAGATCAAGAATGTAGCCGAAGCATCCATACCATCCTTACTGATGGCTGCAGCTCCATGGGGACATGAGGAGAAAGGCTAACAGCCTCACTCCAACAAGCTCCCATGGTCCTTCCAGGAGAAGCTTTTGTAACACAGTCTTCATATAATTATATGGGGGGAGAGGTGGGGGGCGCGCGGCTCAGTGGAATAGCCTCTGCCTTGTATGCAGAAGAACCCATGTTCAATCCCTCACTACTCCAGTTAAAGATTTTGTTAGTAAGTGACGTGAAAGCCCTCTGCCTGACATCTTGGACAGCAAGCTGTCAGTCTGAGTAGACAATATTGACTGTGATGGACCAATGGTCTGATTCAGTATAAAGCAGCTTCATGTGTGTAGCCATGTGTTCAACTACCTCTGCCGGGGGGATTTCTGTAGCAAGTCCTATGTAATCTTCCAGGGCACAGCCAGAATCACTGTCTGAAGAAGAAGCAGGTAGAAGGGCAGGTAGGGCAGAAATGCATGGAGCCTTCTCTCTCTGGAACCATGTAGAGCTCGGTAGGGACATCCGCAGAAAGAAGATGCTGGAAAAGAGAGTCTATGTGAGGATATCCCTTTGTGTAGAAGGAGCCTGATGCCTGGTTCACACTTGCAGGAGACCTGAGGTGGCAGAATGAAGAGAGGGGGAAAGCGTTTGTGTGTGTTTTAAATTTGCATAGAGCTTATGCAAAGGAACATTCAAAGCTGGAATTTAGCCCACTGGATCTTGTGCAAATATCTTTACACTACTGCTGCTTAGAACCTTACAGATATAAAGTGCACCCTAACACTGAGTTAACAGCTAGTCCTTCTTCTTCCTTTGTCGCACACCAGCATTTTACCTTGTGGGATAAAAATGATGTTACGATGTATGAAGATCAACAATCTATACCAAAGCTATACACATCTTGGTCAAGATTAATAGTTGATGACTTTCTATTGGCAGTGGGACAATACATCCTACCATCTCAGTCTCTGGCATGCATGAACCAGGTCAAATTAACATTAATTCCACACCCTATCTAAATTCCCTGCCCACATAGATACTCTGCATATGCCCTTGGAAAAGTCTCCAATTCTTTTGTGTGCCTTATGCAGACAACAGGAAGTAGCACTGAGTAATGTACGAGCATTTAACACTAGAGCAGGATCTTCTGTTTTCCAGTAAGAGTTCTGGGCGGTGGCGGCAGGGAGGAATGGGATGTAGAAATGTAATGGACAACATATTGCCCTAGAGGAAGACTGAACAGCTGCATGGCAACCCCTTCTAAAATGATGTAATTTTTCATTCACTACGAGCTTTTTTCTTATCTATTTTATTAGCATTCCTGCCAACATGCAAATATGGTCATATTCTACAGGCACAACACATACTGGCAGCTGTCTGAAAAGCTAAGTACAGCTATTCTGTTTGAACTTGCAAGGGGTGTAGATTTCTGTTGCTACTACATGCTCTTATCATATGTACATTATGCAACTCAAGGTACTCTTGCATTAAATTACTAATTTACTCCTATTGCAAAACTGGGGATTTTTCCCCTAGTTGTTGGGCTAAGGGAGAAAGTAACTAGGGTGAAAAGACAGATGGAGCAATACATCACTGAACAGAAGCAGCAAGTCCATGGATGAATTGGCATTTAAGCCTCGATCTTCCACAGTAGACTGTGCTGGATCTCATAAAAACCTATTAAGGACCCAAATGTAGGCTGGTAGCAGTATAGTTTCATCCATAAAAGCACAGAAATATCTCCCTTATATATAAAAGCCGAATGGTGATGGCACTTCTCTAGAACATTCCACGCGCTCCAGAATTGGTTGGCGCCCTGGTGTGTCAGTCAGAATCTGTCCCTATCCACTGGCTGCCTTGCTTGAGTCTCGCCTCCAACATTCTAAACAGTTTGCTGTTCCTCTCCCCCCCATAGCCAGTCAGAACACAGAGGTTATTTGCATATGCAGCCTCATTGGCCTTTGCCTCGGAACACAGAGGTCGTTTGCATATGCAACTTGATTGGCTTTTGCCTCTAACATTCTAAACAGTTTGCTGTTCTGAGGTAAAATGTGTCCAATCTCCAGGTGAGGGCTGGAGATCACTCAGAATTACAACTGCTTTCCAGATGGCAGAGATCAGTTCCCCTGGAGAAAATGGTGGGCTCTGTATCCTTATATGCTGCTGAGGTGGCCCCCGTATGACAGCCAATGTGACATAGCAGTCAGGGCTTCAGAGCACGGGAGAGGCTGCAGGTGTGTGGGGGGTAGAAAGCTGAAGAGTGAGGGGGAAATAAA